TCTGTGTTGAAGACTCACCAAGTACGCTGAACAGCTTCCAATCTTTCATGGTCATTTTGAAAGTATGGTAAATTTGTAACTGATTTTTCTGAATAATAGTTGGTTCTATTTCCGATATTTGTTGTTTAATATTGGCAACCACTTCTTTTGTTAATTTGGGCGTTTTATTCTCAAAAATTAGTTTTACTCGTGGGCACCACTGAAATGCTGCTTATAGGTAGAATGGCTTGCACTTCCGTCGCATCCCCATGTTTATGTTTATGTTTAAAACAAATTTTTTTATCTTTGATACTTGGCAAAATATTATTGAAAACTTCTTTTTGCCTCTCAATAATTACAAGTGCTTACAGTTTTCCATCTGCAGATGTATCTGTGATTACAATAAAGTCTGCGCCTGGATAGCATTTTTTGCTTGAAAAAGAACGTTATAACTTGTGTAGATGTTTGCGTTTCTTTATTTAGCACCTTGTTGCATTAAAATGAAGGATTTTTTTGTCAAGCATGAATCAATAAATAAAAGAAGTGCTTTTTCTGGAGTGTTTTTAACTGGCTCTAAAGGTGACGTTGAAATTTCTATCTTGATTCTGTAGGGGTTCTCTGGATCTGAAAGACCTTTAAGAATCTGCGACGCATTTCTTTGTCCAGAGGCCTCCAGGCTTCTTCGTGCAGCGAAAGTCAACTCTTCTGTTGAGTACTTTTGCCAAACCGGCATAAACTTTTGTTTCTTTCGCTTGCTCCCAAGATCCATAAAAAGTTTGCAGTCTGCCTCTGGTTGGACCAGGTTTGTTTTGGTCTTCCAAAAAATAGTATTTTTATTCAGCCAGTCAGAATGGATCTTTTCGAAAACTCTTCGAGTGCGATTGCAGTTTTCCCGCATTTTCGAAACAGAACTAGTAAAACTATTTACCATTTCTTGTACTGAATCACTTTTGCTGTCATCTTTATTATCTTCTAAATGAAGCTTATTTAAAACATAGATCAAAACAGCAGCATTCTTTTCTTGTAATAAGTTTTCTGCACCTCAAACATCAAACATATCGCGTTTCCGAAATGGCATCGTTCTAAAAAAAAAAACAAATTCGTTGATATAGGTAGTACACTTTGTAGCACTCAAATTTCATATTGATTGAAACTTTAGAAAATGTAAATGAAAATTTTTTATTTTGTTAAAGGCTTTTACAAGTACCAGAAAATAACAATAATACAAAGATGTAAAGTACTTAACTTTACAGGGAAAAATCTGAATTACACAAAACGGATGACAAACACCGCAATAATCAATCGAACTTAGGAAATAAATACCGACTATTTCAAGTAAGAACACAATTTGAGTATTGGTGTCAATTTGGTGGCCAAAAACTTAGTAACCTAATACGATAAAATAAAAAAAAGACATGAACATTTTATTAAATGGAATGTTATTATTAAGATAAAGCCAAAAACAATGTTGTTGTTGTTGCTTTTTTTAATGAATTATTACTTCCTAAATAAAATAAAACGACCTCTGTGTGGCGGTACAAATTTATATTTTTTTAAAAGGAATTGCGCACTTTTTATTTCATATCAGAACAGAAACGATAAAAAGAACAAAACACTTTCGATCACTAACATACAAAGACAAAGGAATTAGTACAAATACG